GCTGCCAGGATTCTGACTAGAACCAGAAAATCTGAGCATATTACACCAGTCCTCAGGTCCTTACACTGGCTTCCAGTTATATTTAGGATTGATTTTAAAGTACTTTTACTCGTTTATAAATCACTCAATGGCCTAGGACCTAACTACATAGCAGATATGTTCACTGAATATAAACCTAACAGACCACTCAGATCATTAGGATCAAGTCAGTTAGAAATACCAAGGGTTCACACAAAACAAGGGGAGTCTGCTTTTAGTTATTATGCCGCCCGCAGTTGGAATCAGCTTCCAGAAGAGATCAGATGTGCTAAAACATTAGTCACATTTAAATGCAGACTCAAAACTCATCTGTTTAGCTGTGCATTTATTGAATGAGCACTGTGCGATGTCCGAACTGATTGCACTATATTTTATGTATAATCATTTTCTTCAGTTCATTTTAAACCTCTTAAATCAATTTTTTTAATACTTTTCAAAGTTTTTAAATTCCTTGTTTTATTGTTGTGATTATTTTTTTCTTTTCTTTTATGTGCACTTTGAATTACCATTGTGTATGAAATGTGCTATATAAATAAACTTGCCTTGCCTTGCCTTGCCTTAATTTTGTATTTTTCCAAATAAATTAGTAGTTGACATCATCATTTGACACTATAGTACATTCGGTGTTATTATCTTTCGAACTTTTCACCTGATAAATTTTTTTGTTTCCTGTCGTCTCTCCCCAGTGATGCTTTGACAGTTTGAAGGGCTTCCTGAGACTCGCGCCACTGCCATGGTGGTGCGCTCTGACCTGTTGGGTACGGCTCAGCTGGCGTTTGAGTCCTGGCCTGCAGGCAGTGGCAGTTCTGTGGAGGAGCTGGACGTCAGGAGTTTCCTGGGCTCACTGATGGAGGAGAACAGCACAGCGGAGAGATGTTATCGCTCTCACTCCCGCAGCAGCGTCCTGCAAGGCCTGCCCTTCGGAGGAGTCCCCACCGTCCTCGCCATCAACGTTGTTCTGTGGCTGGTATAACATATTTAAAATATTCTGCAGCATTGTTTAGCTGCAACTGCATGACATACATCGTGCATCTAACATATTTTCTTATAATATTATGATTAAGGGTTATTACTTCTAACCGTTATGAGAGTGTGAACCTAATGAATCTCACAACGCCTGTCAATAACATGTTTGTTTCACCCAAAAATTAAAAGAAAGAAAAAAAACGTTTCCATAAAATTTAGCTCGAAAGTCCTACCTCTCATATTGAGTACTATATTTGCATAATCATTTGCAGCCTCATTATATTTATATTATTTTAATGCAAAATATTGGATTATTTTCATTCATGAGAATTTGGGAGAGTTTGCTTAGTTGTCATGAAAATAGTGTTACAATGTAAAAAGTCCTAATGTCAAATTATTGTCTAGTTATTTGATTTTGGAATAAATTATGACTCGGACTCTTTCCCATGACATTCAACCATCTGATCTATAAAAGAGAAAGGTTAACAGACTTAAATTAATTTGATGAACAGTGCACCTGCTTTAACTCGGTGGCATGTACAACCCCAATTCCAGAAAAGTTGGGACATTTTGTGAAATGCCATACAATCAAGAATATGTTATTTGTTCATTCTCTTTAACCTTTATTTAATTGACTAAAGTACAAAGAAAAAAATTCCAATGTTTTCACTGGCCAACTTAATTTTATTTAGTAAATATAAACAAATGTTTATTTTGATGGCTGCAACACACTCTAAAAAAGTTGGGACAGAGGCCTGTATAACACTGTGTCACATCAACTTTCCTTTTAATTATTCTTTATTTTTTGGGGGAATTGAGGATACTAATTTTTAAAGTTTTGCAAGCAAAATTTTTGACCAATCTCACTTGATACAACACTTCAGGTGCTCAGCAGTCTCTGATCGTCGTTGTCTGGTTCTCCTTTTCATGACTGGTCATACATTTTCAATAGGAGACAGATCTGGACTGATGTAGCACATTCACTCTGTGTCTACGAAATCACGCTGTTGTAGCACATGCAGAATGAGACCTGGCATTGTCTTGATCTAATAACCATGGACTTCCCATGAAAGATGTCATCTTGGTGGCAGTATATGTCTCTGTACGATTTAAATAAATGCCTCCATGTCAATGGTACTTTCGCACATATTCCAGTCAGCCATGCTGTTTGCTCTGATAAACCCCCATATCATGACAGATGTTTGCTTTTGCATCTGTCGCTGGTGAAAGTCTGGATGGTCCCTTTGGTCTTTGGGACTGAGAACATGACTTCCATTTTTCCTAGAAACACACTGAAATGTGGACTCATCTGACCACAGCACACATTCCCACTGTCTTTTTGACTATATGAGCTCTGGCCCAGAAAACCCATCACTGCATAGAATTGATGTATAGCTTTCTCCTAGAGTAACAGAGATTCGGGTTGCATTTGTTGATGCAGCGGCATACTATGTTAAGTGACAGCGGTTTTCTGAAGTACTCCTGAGCCAATGTGGCTATATCTAACCCTGCAGCATGACGGCTCACTCACATTTAACTGAGGTTTCCTGCCTTGCCCTACACAGACTGAGATTTCTCTGGATTCCCTAAATCTTTTCACAATATTATGTATGGTTGTTGTTGGTGAAATACCTAAATTCTTTGCGATTTTGCATTGAGAAATGTGATTTTTGATTTGCTTGACACTTCTCTCATGAAATTTGGCACAAAGTGATGAGCCATGATCCAGCTTTGCGGTTTTCTTTTTCATCTTTTTTAAAAGATGCTCCTTTTAAACCCAAACATGATCCCTTCACCTATTACCATTCACCTGCTTACTGGGAACTGTTTCAAAACAGATTAACTTGGATATTCTTTAACCTTTTCACTTTTATTTTGCCTCTGTCCCTACTTTTTTGGAGTGTGTTGCAGGCATCAAAATCAAAATTTGCTTATATTTACAAAATACATTTAAGTTGGTCAGTGAAAACTTTGGAAATCTTTTCTTTGTACTTTTGTCGGTTAAATAAAAGTTAAAGAGCATTAACAAATTGCAGATACTTGATTTTATTGCATTTTACAAAACGTCCCAACTCCCAACGCTTCTGGAATTGGGGTTTATGTCTGTATAATCTAGACTACACTATTGTTCAAAAGTTTGGGGTCTGTTTTTATTTAGTGTTTTTGAAAGAAGTATTTTTTATGCTCACCAAGGCCACATTTATTTGATTAAAAATACAGTAAAAACAGTTATATATTTAAATATTATTATAATTTATTGCTATAATTTAATATTGTAAGAATATAATACAATGTATTTAATGTGACATGATCCTTCAAAAATCATTCTGATATGGTGATTTGATGCTCAAGAAACATTTCTTATTATTGTCAATGTTAAAAACGGTTGTGCTTAGCACGAGTATTCATTTCTTTTTTTTTTTTTTTTTTTTTATCTTACTGACCCCAAACATTTGAATGGTATCGCATATTTGAGTCAAACTCAACAACCAAATCAGTTCAGTTTGTGAATGAATCTTTTCTGGTTCGGTAAACCGGATCAACTGATGTATTAAAAATGCCAGACTCAAAAGAATGAATCATTTTTAATGAAATTATAAACAGCAGAATTGTTTTTTGCAGTCATTTTTGGTGACACTTCTGGGGCAGAAACCACACTCTTCAACCATTAAGTTTAGAACAAGTTGCTAACCAGCATATCCTAGGAAGCTCAATAGAGACCTGTAGCTTCCCAGCAGTCAGTGTTTTAAGTTGTCTTGTCATTGACTCTTCCTTCTGGAGTCATTATGAACACAAGTGTGAAGGAATATTAGCTGTGGGTATACCACTGTTCCACTAACATGTTTGACAAAATCACCAAAGCATTTGAAAAAAACTTTATTTTGTGGAAAACACAGTGATCAAAATTAGAGAACAGGAACCACTGTAGCACAAAAAAAAGATTACAACTAAAATTTTAAAGGGTTGCAGCTGTCAGAAATTAGTAGAGAGTGTAGAGGCCCCTGCTTTGATTGACTTCAGCACATCTGTGGCTGCAGGACATCACTAGTTTCTCACACTGTGCTGCTGTGATCTTGGTCCACTCTTCTTCCAGTCTCTTCCATAGTTCAGTATATCTGTATTCTAGTTCCTGCTTCTAATCTTCTCCTGTTTGAGGAAAGCAGCGTGGGACTACGGTCGCCTGGCTCTGCTTATGGAAAATGACAGGTATCATCTCAGAACTGTTGACTGATTGAAGAATGCATTAAGATGTAAATAATTGAACTGTGTGTGGTGTTTGAGTGAACTGAATGCTTAGGATTTTAGTGGGTTTCTTAGCCATGACTTTGTTGCCAAGGATTTTCCAGAGATTTTCAATCAGGTTCAGGACTCTGGGCCGGTGATTTCATTATTTCAATGTTCTTAGCTTCAAGGAAGCTACGTTTTACCCATTTTGCAGTGTGACGGGGGGCATTGTCTTGCATTAAAATTGCAGGCTGATTGGGAGATGCTTGCAGGGAAGGTACCGCATGTTGCTGAAGGAGGTTCTGATAAACATTTGCATTCACCTGCCATGTGTCTGTATAAGAGGCCCAACTCCTGCTGCCGAAAACATTCCCCAAACTATGACACGTCCTCCTCCACCTTTCACTGACATCTTTACACACTTGGGCTTCAGTCTTTTCCCAGTTTGACCCTGAACAAAATGTTTCCCACCTGACCCAAATATGCTCTCATCACTAAAGTGAACTTTGGTCCAGTTCTTCCCTCTCCACACAACATGCTCCTCAGCAAAGGTGAGCCTAGCCTTTCTTATTTTTGCTATTGAGAGGCTTGGTCACTGCAGAGTGCGATTTCAGTCCGACTTCTCTTAAACACGCTGAGACAGATCCATACCATAAGCAATTCCAGCTGCAGTGTTGAACTGAGAAGCTCTGCATTATCATGTCCACTCGTGCAGTTGTCTTACGTGGACGACCTGCCTTTTTGGGGGACTTGAATGAGTTAGTGTCATTGTAAAACTGCAATATTCTAGAAATTACAGATTTGGAATGACCAGCTTCTCGTGCAGTTGCTGAAATTTTTATCAGTTCTTTTTCAAATATCTCTGTAAGTGTTTTTTTTTTTTTAATACTGTGCTTCTGAATACAATTAATTTATGAAATATGCTTAAAAACTGCCCTTCTACTCCGGGTAGGATAACTTCAAACAGGACTAAGCAGTGACCTTGAAATTGAGGAAATTATAGGTTCTCTAATTTTGTTCTAATAATTTTGGTCTCCACTGTATATATGTAGTAATTGTGTCATTTATTTATTTATTTATTTATTTCAGCATTTCATTGTCAATGCCATTTCATTTAAATTTTGCTCACATTTTCAAGATACCTGTTCTATTTAAAAAAAAAAATTATTAAAAACTTTAGTCCCCGTGGGAGCAGTGGGTGGAATTCGATCATAAGTTTTAAGACTTCTGTTGCAGCAGCGCTGCTTGATTCTGCATCAGCATGTAGCATTAAAGTCTTTGTTTATGTGAATGTGCAGCTGATTCTCAGTGTGTATATTTGCAAAGCGTTGCATCAGTCTACACTCACAGTAATAACATTTTGACATCTATACACACTAGAATTTGACCTGCTTCTTTTCATTTCCTGTAATAGACCTGGGTGGAAATATTTGCAATTTTCTGATCTTGAGGCAAGTTTTGCATCTGGCATTGAGTTAACACTGGGAAAAACTCAGGCCTAGCACTGATGGAAGCTGGAGAGGGACATTTGTAATAGAAAAGGCATCATCCAGTGATGGGACTAGGGCTAGTTGTTATATATATCTCAGTACAGTTTTGAATAAAAAATTCATTGCTTAAATGGTTGTTTTATATGTGGTTATCTGGGTAACACTTCAGATTAGGGAACTCAATAAACTCCTAATTTGCTGCTTATTGATAGTAAGTAAGGTAGTTGTTGTACTAGTTATGTTTGGGTTAAGGGATCTAGAATATGGTCATGCAGAATAATTATGTGCTTTATAAGTACTAATAAACAGACAATATGCTAGTAATATGCATGCTAATAAGCATCTAGTTAATACTGAATAGTGTTTCCTAATCTAAAGTGTTACCCATATTAACAAGCATAAAACCACAATGAGATGCATTCAAGCTTACTTTATAATGAAGGTAGATTTTAACTGATATGTTCAGGATGAAGGTAAATGTCAGGTAGTGGCAAGTTATCATGTATTATAGAATTAATTAAATTAAATGAGCAAAACAATGTTTTGAATGTTGCATTTTACATTTTGTGTTTCAGTTTTTTTACTCTTTATTTGTTTATTTATTTGCTGAAAAGCCATTAAAGGTTATTAATATTATTAAATGTTTCTCTTAATCTCTAGGCTACAGAAAACCTATTGAATATTTTCCACAATTGCCCAAGAAAAAGATACAGTTAATTTAACACACACACACACACACACACACACACACACACACACACACACAACTGTTTGAAATCTAAATCTAAATTCAAAAGCCATCTTCTACATTTAAAATGTATTATAGGCTATTGATAATATGTGATAACTAGCCCTAGTCTACGTATAATCCTACATGGGAATTTTATTTCAGTTTTAGAATTTTCTAACAGTATGTGAGTTTTTTGTGTGTTTTTTTTTACCTGTCAGTTTTATTGTTTGTCTTTGTTCTGTAGCTTGACATCACTATTCTATGGAGAACAAAGTGAGAAAGAGAAAACCCCATCAGAATCCAGCCCATCAGACTCAGAGACCAAGGACATGGTGAGAACCTTTTGTAAAAGAGACAAAGAAATAAAAGCATCAAACACATTTAAGAAATGTTTGATCATGCAGAAACAGGATCTTTGCTTGAATTTACCACATTTGGCAGTGAGAAAACCCACTGGGCCTTGTCATTATCAACAACACCTCTGCTTAGAAAGGAATAAAAGCATGAGTACAACTAAAAGATTGTGTTTTAATGTCACTATCATCTTCACGGTGATGCGAATTTACTACCACTGAAACCTAAAGACATACAGAGGCAAAAATAAAGTTCAATCTGTCGACGTGGATTAGTCAGCCGCTGTTACGGAGCGTCGCCCCAGAGCTACTGTCATATAAAAGAGCCTGTGCACTTAGACGCTATTTTCTTTTATGCACATTATCTGTCCGTTTATATTCTGACCTCACTCTGTCTCCTTTTATTTTATTTGCAATGACGGTTCAAGACATCACAGCCACGTTAAAGATATTGCATGCATTTGCATGGCTTTTTCCACTTGTTACGCTATCCGTGTTCACTTAAAGGACAAATGATTCTGACAGATGCTAAGCTAGCCAGACGCGCTCTTTTTTTATATGCCAGACCATTTTATGACACCGTCGTCTTCCCTCCCTCTCTTTATAGGGCTTCTGTTCCTGGCTCACATCTCTGTACCACATGAAGTAAGTATGCAAGAAGTGCATGGTGATGTCATCAACCAGTGTCCTGTTTGCTCGTGTTATATCTCATTAAGAAGGGAAAACACAGGGTGAAGGTAGACCGGGCGCTTTACCAGCACATCTAACGTCTGGGCACGCTCTAAAGCCTTTCAGAACTGTAAACCAGCCTCTAGTCTGTCTCCACGGTTGCAGAGATGTTATTTGGACGACTTGAATGGCATGTTGGTGCCATATTTAGCTGGTTCCCTTAAAAGCTTAAAAACTGAGAGTTCCTCGCTCTGTGTGAGGCGAGGCCGGAGGGGTGTGTGTGTGTTTGTGTTTTTGTGTGTATGAGGGCTCCTTGTAATCATAAAAGCCCCCAACGCCCTCGTGTATTTGTGTGGTCTTTTAAAAAGGCCGTCACACATATATTGTTGACCGAAGCCAATAATTCATTGGAAACACATTGAAAACTCTCACAGAGACTGTGTCTGCTAACTAGTGCCGATCTAGCAAAACAAAAGTCATAGGTTTGATTCTTAGAGAATGCACATGGGTCAATAATATGTCCACGATTAAAAAAGAAAAAGAAAAACCTTTTACAAGGAAAGAAAAAAATCTAGTTTTAAAACGTGACACATGTTCGTTTTCATGTTGTTTTCATGTGGTTTTGAAAAACTTGAATATACACTACCATTCAAAAGTTTGGGGTCGGTAAGATTTCTAAATGTTTTATGCTCACCAAAAATACAGTGAAAACAGTCATTTTGTGAAATATGATTACAATTTAAAACAACTGCTTTCTATTTTGAAACATTGTAAAATATAACTTGGTAAAGCTGAATTTTCAGCATCATTACTCCAGTCTTCAGTGTCACATGATCCTTCAGAAATAATTTTAATATGCTGATTTGGTGCTAAAGATATATTTTTTATTATTATAATTTTGGAAACAACTTTTGTGCAAATGATGATACATTTTTTCAGGATTCTTTGATGAATAGAAAGTTAAAAAGAACTGCATACTGACTGCAAACATTAGAATAGTACTCTGATTTTCAAGAAAAGCTTCAATTTACTGACTATAAAATGTCATGTAATGTACAGTAACCATCAAGTAATAAAATTATGAACACATTTACCATGTGAGAGAACATATATTATTATTTTCCAAAACATGTAAATATATTTTTCAGTGTAAAAAATTCTTAATTAATAAATAGCTGTACTTTTTTTTACCACATGATATTTTACAACCTGAAATAAATCGTTTTATAAACCTTTGTAAAAAGGACAAATTATCTGATATTTTAAGAGATTTATTGAGCTTGTTATGAGAGTCCTTTTGTTTTTCTGTTTTGTTTTGTTTTGTTTTGTTTTGTTTCTGCATGTTGGTTGAACCACAATAACAGAAGATGCCTATATATATATATATATATATATATTGCATTAAAAACGCTTTTTTTTCTTAGTGTGAAATACTTTTTAAAACCTTTTTCAACAATAAATAACCTTTTGTGCACTTAAAAGTTTCCATGGATTTTAAAGGTTCTTCATGGAACCATATATGCAAAGAAAGAACCTTTATTTAAATATATATATATGTAGTGTTCAACTCTCAGAAAAAACAAACAACAACAAAAAAACTTTGATTTATTATTAATGCAGGTGGCCAGAACTCTAATGATTGTTTTGTTTTGTTTTGTTTTGTTTTGTTTTGTTTTGTTTTGTTTTGTTTTGTTTTGTTTTGTTTTGTTTTGTT